GGGATGGGGATGCAGTACTCTGCTTCACTTATCTAAAACTACTCTTGTGAAATTTAACTTGCAACAGATGTTCAGCATGACAAGCCAGAGCCCAGATAATAAAAAGCAGTTAAAGGCAAAGTATTTAAATGGGAAAAGTTGCAAGGATATCCCATAACAAGCCGTTGCATTGCTGCTGTCCTGCCTTGTCCAGGGCAGTCCTAAATAGACAGGATAAACTCTCTTAAATCATAGAATGGTTTGGGTTAGAAAGGACCTTAAAACCATTTAGTTTCCACCCCCTGCCCTGGGCAGGGGCAGAAGGGACCTTAAAGACTATTTAGTTTCCACCCCCTGCCCTGGGCAGGGACACCTCCCACCAGACCAGGTTGCTCTAAGTCCCATCCAAGCTGGTCAGGGATGGGGCAGCCACAGCTTCTCTGGGGTCTTGAACCCCTTCAGAGATGGGGCAGCCACAGCTTCTCCGGGCAACCTGGACCAGGCTGTCACCACCCTCACAGCAAAGAATTTCTTTCAAGTATCTCATTTAAATCTAGCCTCTTTCTTAGGAAAATTCTCCCTGTTTTCCCCCCTCTCCCCTTTGCTTGCCTGAATTTATTCCAGTGACCCATCCGTTTCCCTGCATCTCTCTCTCAGTGCTGACAGGTTTCACGCTCCCCAATTTAGCCATTAGCTGGAGGGTTTAGCCTAGACAATTTGTTCCCATAAAATACGGCGCTGACAGGCGTGAGGGTACGGAGCTGTCTCTGCAGACACTCCTCTCCAGAGCTGGTGCCAACGGAGCAGCCACATGCCCAGCTCCTGTGGTCTGGATTCCAGAGGTTGGCCAGGATGCTTGGAGCTGCAGCCTCCCTTTTTTTCCCCCCCTCTCCCCCCTTAGCTTGCCTGAATTTATTCCAGTGACCCATCCGTTTCCCTGCATCTCTCTCTCAGTGCTGACAGGTTTCACGCTCCCCAATTTAGCCATTAGCTGGAGGGTTTAGCCTAGACAATTTGTTCCCATAAAATACGGCGCTGACAGGCGTGAGGGTACGGAGCTGTCTCTGCAGACACTCCTCTCCAGAGCTGGTGCCAACGGAGCAGCCACATGCCCAGCTCCTGTGGTCTGGATTCCAGAGGTTGGCCAGGATGCTTGGAGCTGCAGCCCCCAGGGATGCGCTGCCGGAGGGAGCTGCCACATTGCCCCCAAGGGTGCCAAAGGGACCTGTCCTACCTGCCATGTTCACTGGCCCTGTGTGACAGGCACCCAGGGCCCTCCCATCTTGGCAAGCAGATCTACCAAAAAACACCCAACACCAAAGGAGGAAGGAGGGAAGAGAGGAGCAGGTAAAGGAGCGAGGCAGGAAAAAGTCAGAATAAAGAAAACGGCTGCCACATTGCCCCCAAGGGTGCCAAAGGGACCTGTCCTACCTGCCATGTTCACTGGCCCTGTGTGACAGGCACCCAGGGCCCTCCCATCTTGGCAAGCAGATCTACCAAAAAACACCCAACACCAAAGGAGGAAGGAGGGAAGAGAGGAGCAGGTAAAGGAGCGAGGCAGGAAAAAGTCAGAATAAAGAAAACAAGGATGAAGATTTTACATTCCTGTAGTTTATACTCCTGCACAGCCAAGCAAGGCAACGATACAGCAGCACAGAGTTGGTGAATATGTCATGAACATCAGTCTGGATTTTAGGACATAGCAGAATCCCGCCAGGAAAGAGGGTTTAAATCTTGCAGCAGGAGCATAGGAAATAAGTCCTTTTGTAACCCCCTCCCTTAAGAAAGCCTATCACTACATTGGAATTAGAAGACCTTTCCAGGTTAATTTAAATATTTTTCTTTCTCGAGTTTGAGAACATCAGAGTTCAATTAAGCAGAGCAACCAACCACCCCCCCCCGAAAGCAGCAGGCAGGCAGGCAGACTTTGGGGATTTCATTTTTCTTGTAGAAAAGAAAAAAAGCCAAGGAAGGAGGGGGATATGACTGCGCTGCCATGTGGAATCATTCATTTTACACTGATCCCCGTCAGCCATCCGAAGCTTTGCTTAAATAAACGTAGGGATTGAGGCTTTGGGAGGCAGTTCCCACTTGTCCTCCTGCGCAGGCAGAGCCCGGCAGCAGGACACAGAGGGCTCAGAATGGGGTGGTGGAGAATCAGCCCCTCTCTTTCTCTGGTTCACCTGTTAATTGGCTCTTCTGGTTTTCTTCTGTGTATTTTTCTGTGTATTTCTGGAGAATTAGAAATCAAATCAGGGGAGTTAGGTAATGAGCCAGGCTCAGGGGAAGGATCAACTGTCAGAGCCCCCAAGTTTCTTTCTGTGCCCCTCACAACAAGCCAGTACAAATCTGCAGCACCTGGAGCTGGTGGGATGCGTGTGCTGCTCTGCAAAGCAGGACGAGGAGGTTTAAGCAGCAAAATACACTTTTCTTCATAGAATCATAGAATGGTTTGGGTTGGAAGGGACCTCAAAGATCATCAAGTTCCAACCCCCCTGCCCTGGGCAGGGACACCTCCCACTAGAGCAGGTTGCTCAAGGCCACATCCAGCCTGGCCTTGAACCCCTCCAGGGATGGGGCAGCCACAGCTTCTCTGGGCAACCTGTCCCAGTGTCTCACCACCCTCATAGTAAAAAATTTCTTTCTGAGATCTAATCTGAATCTTTTTTCTTCCAATTTAAAACTGTTTCCCCTTGTTCTATCATTACCCTTCCTGGCAAAGAGTCCCTCCCCAGCTCTTCTATAGGCACCCTTCAGATATTGAAAGGCCGCTATAAGGTCTCCCTGGAGCCTTCTCTTCTCCAGGAAGAATTCCTTCCTTATGAAAGAATTGCAAGAAAATAAATGAGAGTGCCGGCATCTCTATTTTATAGCTGGGGAAACTACAGCGTGGAGGGATGGTTGCACCCAAGGTCGTAGAAAAAGGTCAGTGTCACAGTCAACCGGAGGGGTCTCAACTCCATCTCACTGAGCAAGGGAGAAGGTTTTCCATTCTCCCTTTTTCTAGCTGCCCGTGGGGAGGTCTGTGCAGGCAGCATTTGTGCTGCCCTCAGTACACAATGGGATGGACCAGTGACACCAGCACCTGGATGAACTGGGAGCTGTCTCCATCCCTGCCTCAGTTTCCTCCAACCAGCAAGATGACTTCCTGGCTGCTCTGTACAGTGATGTTAATTGGTCTGTCTGCAGGTCCAGCTTGTTTTCAACGGGGCAAAAACCTTTCTAGGCCAATGGTGCATTATCAGAAATGTCACAGCAATCAGCTGGTAGCATGACATGGGCTGTTACAGCAGATCAAGCTCAGGACTCTTTTCTCAGGCAGGCAGATGTAGGGGTGGGGAGGGCAAAGAAGGGCTCTACAACTGCATGTGGGGACACCAGTGTCTGAATTGCTGAGACTATCAGGCCAGAGAAAGCTTCAAATGATGTGGGGAAGTGGGGAGGTTTTATCCCTCTGTAGTTATCGCACTGAATATTGTAAATTTGGTGGACTGAGCAAGTGACCCTCTGGGATATTTTATGTAAAGATACATGTCATTAAAGAGTTATTCAATTCAGCCCTAAAGTTAGCTGTGTGTTATACTTTTGATGTCTTTTCTTCTATCACTAAAAAGTAGTTATATTAAGAATGAAAGATCTTGAAAAAAAATAAAATAGTAAAAATAATCCCTTTCAGTCTCCTCTATATCAAAGGGTTTGTTTTGGCCACTTACCTTGGCTTTCTGTCGTTGTCATTTACTGTGTCTGGTTTGGAGCATGGCAGACAGAAGTTCCAGTAGAAGCCATTAAAGTCTGTGAAATTGGACAATTGGCTATGCAGACATCCCTTAGAAGTATTTCTAGCACTTTTGGTTCCTGGTTGGGAACTGAAAACGGGGATAGAAGAAAGAAAATCTCTATATATATGTATCAGAGCTTTGGAAAAAAAAAAAAAAAAAGAAAAAAAAAAAAAAGCATCGAATGTGGGACATGAAAACATGAAACTTTCGGTTTCTGACAGACTCTGCTAAGTCTTTATCCCCTCTCTTCTTCTCACCCTTCAGAAGCCCAAGTAATTTTCCAGGCATGGCTCATACAACACCCTTCAGCACACACACCGTCTGAAACAGGGGCATGAGGCACTCAGTGGAAAGGCAGCCACCTGGATCTACAAACCTGAATTAATTCACCCTCAGTAGACCTGGATTTAGGTAGTCCTGGCCGCTGCTGCTGACTTAAACTCCTAATGAGGTTTCACATCACGTTGGCATCAAGTATAAGGACTTTTTTTTTTACTCAGCACTACAAAACCAATGTTTCCATACATTCTTCTTTCCTCAAAACTGAGAAAGCTTATTCCATTTTATGAATGATCCCTGTTTGGGAAGATAAGAAAGGAAGAGCAGTTGTTACTTGGCTCCTTTGCCGTCACTGAACCTTCCACGAATTTCAGTCTTTTCCTCCTGTGATGTATCGCTCTTCTGGAGATTTCAGCCCAGCCACTGTTTGTGCAAGCTGTATCCTCTACATATAAAAGAAATGGACCAGATTCATCAGCACTTTAGTGCTTTTACTCCGTAGCCCTGTTCACTTCAGTGTTTTTCAGATTATGCTGTAGCTGTTTAGACTCTGCCCTTGCTTCACAGGTGAACTTTGCTGTCAGGTAGATAGAAATGATTGAAAAGTCCTGGTTATTTCTCAAGAACTGCAGGCTTTTTTTGTCTATTCATCTGTCGATAGGTACATTTTCTCTCTTGCTAACATGGTATATTCAGACAGGATGACATTTTTTTCCCTGAAACATTACCCCGCCAAATCCTGCAATAAATGGCTATATCTTCAGAAGATTTTGAGATACTGATTGTAGGACTCTTGAAAATCTCTCTGGAAGGAGCAAAGGGTTTGAAATCATCACTGCAATTAAGCAACCGACATCCCGCTCTCTGGTTTGGGGTACAAAGGTGCATGAAAAAAAGTACCATACCTTGTAATAAGAGCTGTTCAGTCATCAGACCTCTGCAGTCTATTTAAAATGACCCGAATTTATATTTAAATTCATTAAACTTCACTCAGAAGATTAGACATTAAAGGGGTACATGAAGTACAGGGAGGCCATATGATGGGCATGGACGCAAATACAGCTGCATGATATGCCATCAGGCCACCATGAAGGCTACAGCCCAGAGGAGGCAGCTTCTGGTGGAATCATGATTAAGGGGCTTGAAAGGCTTCACTGTGAGTCCTGAGCCAGCTCAGAGAGCCTTCCCAGCAAGAGGAGCCTGACAGCAAACTTTTCTGCCCATGGGAAACCTACTTCCAGCCTCACTTTCTCATTCTGCAAACTTTCAAAATAGCATTCACCATCCCCTCTCTCCCCTGTTTTGGGGGTTTTTTCTGTCACAAATCTCTCTGGGTTGAAGGGGGGGTGTCTGATTTCATTCAAACTGCTACCTATTCTGGAGTGAAATTTCAGGTAACAAGAGGGTACATTTTCCCTGGAATGTCTGTATTACCCTGTAGTCAGCAGGAATGAAATTGTCTGACTGCGCCCTCCCCTTGGGGACCCCACCGAAAATGAGATGTATCTCTCATGAGGACCTCCCAGCAAGCACAATTGAAATATCTCTGTGACTGCAGTAGCTCTGTAATGAATGAATTAATTGATTTCACCCTCAGCTTCTTCTTCATTGACCCCACTAGCCCCACAGTGGGGAAGGAGCTTTGTTCCAGTTCCAGTTTCCCTCAAAGCCTTGTTCTATTTAAAGACAGATGAAATGGCTTCGGGGCTCAGGGTGGGAATCCCAAAACCTCAGCTTTGGTTGGGTCATCGAGCTCCACACTGAGTTTGGATGGAAGAACTTGCATCTTTCAGCCATCCCCAGGGTGTCCATTAACAGATGGAAAAAGTGGGTCTGGCAAGTTTGACATCCTAACAGTGCATCTACCTAGATCTGCATATTGTCTGCAGGCCTGTTTAAGGAGCTTGTGTGGACAGCTCTGGGTCTCCAGGCAGCCCCGGTTCTCCCCTCACTTCTTAATCCAAATTATTTTCTGGGAAAACAGTCTGGAATTCACGTATCTACCAAACTCCCCTCCATCTTTAAAAGTGCAACGTGTCCAGCTCTTCCAACCTCAGTAATCAGCAGGGTGACCGTAGACAACACATGGACAGGGCAGACTTCTACATCTAACCTGGGGAATGGCAGGACTGTGCATAACAATTCAGAAAATAAAGGTGAAATGATTCATCAGTGCCTGAAAAGAATGGGTCCTGTTCTCATTTCCAGGCAAACAGCTCCCCCTCGAGTCAATGCCTGAGGGTATCATCTCAGGGTACTTGGTACAGGCTGCTCAGGCTGGGATAACGGAGCAATTAAACAGCTACAGGAAAAGCCCATGGGACTCAGGTCACTGTGGAGCTGTTAAAAACCTGAGATTATTCTCACACCCTGCAAAGCAAGTCACGCACTGCTGAAGGTCTTGTATAGGGCATCAGATACAACAGCTTCTACTTGGTGTGTTCCAGTCAACAGAGAACAGCTCCAGAAGTTACGTCCTCATGAATTTTAACCGTGGCTCTGAAGTGACTCCTCTGTATCTTTGAGAAAGTCACGCTGCTTCTGCTGTGCCTCGGTTTCCCTGTTGTGTTCTCTGGGTCTAATCAGATTCTCTGTCCGTTGCAAAATATATGGTCCCAAATAGTTCTTCTGGAAAATACTGCTTCCACTGTATCTCAAATTTAAATTTAAAAATGGAATATTTTTAATTAGTTTTCCAAGGAAACTTTTCAAATATTTGAGTGTTCAAAATGCTGTTGTTCCACTCTTAATGAAAAGGTTGAGATTCTTGATTTTGTAGAGTTGATATGGATATTTTGCAGTTTCATATTTTATGAAAATTGCAATATTTCTTCTCAACTTGGGGATGAAAACAGATACTAAAAAGCAAAATTTTCTTCCTTGCCTTATGGACATCAGAAATATTAATTTCTGAGTAGCTATAAATGCCCCTATCAGCATCATGAAGGGGTTAAGTATGGTCGCAAGTGATCCCGAGTCCCTCTTTAGTATCACTTCTATTATGTAGGACTTCTGGGTGAGCCAGTAACAAAGGATTAAATCCAACTCTTATTAGTAGATGGCACCTGCCCCAGGACACAATGTTTAAAACACATGGCTGTATGTCACCACAATCACTTTTATTGTGGTGACATCCGAGAACCGCAGGTGTGGATGAGATTTCACTGGTATCGCTCGTTGTGAAAAGATAAAGCAAAAAGTCAAAGCACTTGTAGTGTAAATACAGCAGGAGGGGACACGAGGATGGATTTACACAGGTTGGGGAAGGACACAGTAACGAATGCTTGGTCCGGCTCATGGATTTGCCCTCAGCCTCTTATCTTTAAATTAAAGATCCACCAAGTGCCCGGGTGTTCCCTGTGACAGATGTTATGAGCGAGAGGGTGAATGGGGCACCCAAGAGAAAGAGGTTTATGGGGAAGAAGGTGTCACATCTGCAGATATCTTCTGGACACATAAGAAGAATCAAGCCCCAGACCACACTGCCAAAGGGAGGATGGGATGAGTATTAGGGAGAATGTTGTGAGGAGGCTTCAGATACCTCTGGAGAGCTGCTTGCTATGTCCAGGACTGTCTTCATTCATGTTTTTTACTTGTCCTGTTTCTACTCCAAGCAACCTGGATGGGCTGCCAGGGAAGGCATGTCACTACAGGTGCTACAGAGGAAAAAGGCTTTGTCCCACTGTAAAAAGGGAACTATGAAAACAGTAGATGAGATGTCCTCGTAAAGGAAGGAGAGGGAATGCCAGAACCCCCACCAGCCTGCCCACAGCCTCTCTGAGCTCTGTTTCCTGACCCCTTTCCAGCTGTGCCATCCTCAGAGATGGTTCAGATTCAGCATCCAGACCTGAGCACCCACGGCCAGCTCGGCACCCAGGGCTGTCCCGGACAGACATCCACCCCAAAACGTGAACGAGCTGCTCCTCAGCGGGACTGAAACAGTGCCCAGCCTCCTCTCACTCCTTCTCACTTCTTTTTCTGCTGTGTTTCACTTTGGTAGAAGCGAATTGTTTTGACTGTATCTTCCTTGTAGACATTAAATACCTTTCAAAGCAAGGTCACTGTCCCCGGGGCTACGACAGCACACGTGAAGGTAACAGTTCAGGCTGGGTTTGCTGGGAGCTGCTACTCCGTGTCGTGGGGAGACAGAATCACAGAATCACTCCAGACAGAATCACAGCCCAGCATCCCGAGTTTCCACGGGGAGGAACGGACCTTGTGACCCCTCTTTTTCCTCCCATGTTCACACCTGCAGCAACAGAGGTGTCACATCACCCAGGTAATCTGGGGGCCAGGCATCCGCACGGTTCTTCAGGGTTTTTAGTATGCACCCTCAGATTATGGTTTCCAAGGAGAAAGAACGCATCCGTGGCATCGAGACAGCACGGAGAGGTACAGCCTTGGAAGAGGAACAGCTAATGATGTGTGGCAGACAGGCAGGGCCCAGACCAACCACCGCACGGCATCGCACGTGCCAAGCGGGTTCCTGGCAGCTGGTTCATCTTCCCGTGTCACATCTGATGTTTGAATAGAGGGCAAACACAGGAGTTTATTTCCAGCGCCTCTCCCCGTTCAGACGGGTGACCTTTTCAGAGCTCTGGAGGGCGAGGGAGAAGGCAGCCCACGAAGTGTTCGGATGGTGCTTGACAAATGAAGATATGTAAACGAGGTGGGGGACGGCGGAGCTAGGGAGAGCCAGGCATCGTTAGGAGCTGGGCAGCCTGTCTCATTAGCAAGGGAGTGTTTGCTTTGGCTTCCACCTTGAGGAATGGCAGTGGGGGCTCACAGCTGGGATGGGGCGGTGTGAGGGTTTGGATGGAGCCCTGGGGATGGCTTATCCCGACCAGGGGGAAGGCAGCCAGCCTGGCAGCTCTCTCTGGAAAGCACTCAGAAAAAGCACAGAGAGTCTCACATAGCTTGGTGCTGCCACTCTACCAAGTGAGGAGCAATTTTTCCCCCACCCACCAACAGCATCCAGCACGTTCTGAGTTCCCACCTCTTACAACCCACAGGTGATACCCACCATAGACACACCTGAGAGCCAGGTTCCAGAGCCAACATTCAGTGTTGTGGAGCTTGCAGTGGTCACAGTTGCCTGGTTTGGTGTCTTCTGGCTCCTTCAGTCACCACTTTAGAAAAGGCCGTTAAACCTGCAAGGGCAGAGCAGTTCCCCTTTATGTTAGTAAATATCAATTTTATGCCAGCGTACGCAACCCACACGTGCATACCTCAATCCCTGCTTCAAAGCATCTCAGTCTCCACCTCCCTTTGTGCCTCCTTTGCCCAGAACAAGCAGAAGATCCCAGCTGGCCCCTTTCAGACTTTCCCTGTTGGCTTCTCATAGGCAGCAGCCTCAGCCAGCTCCTGCATTGCTCCCACTGCCTTGTCACTGCTGATACCAAAATCTGGGCTAGGAAAGGGCTTCCCAAAGCCAAGGGTAACCATCTAACCCCTGACTATGAGAGGGAACCATTCGGTTCTGGAGTCCATCTCATCTGATCCATCAGAACGAGTTTTTAATCTGACTGATCCTGACTGTACCCCCTCAGCAAGGCTTGAACGTGGTAGATGCAAACACGACTTTCCGCTGGGTGAGCTAAAAGAGCTGGAAGCAATGACTGCTTGGATTACACCCTGCAACAGCTTTGTGATTTGTACACAATGAGAAAATTGGACTGGGTTTGGATTTGCAGCAATAGGTAGCTCAGATTCTTCTGCATCACTCACTTCTGGGAATGGTCAGACAAGATGAGTTTTGGTTGAGTAGCTTATGTTTTCTAAAAGTTTTCCTGGTAGAAAATGTGATTCATTGTTTGTGGATTTTCTGACTAGATAAAAAGTTTGCAAACAGATCTGTTCTCCTAGAAATCTCTTCCTGGATCGCAGTTGCTCTAAAGTAAAAATCAATACAATGTTTAACCCAAACTGCAAGGCACTTTTTTATCAGAACTCCCCCTGCTCTCTCCCCCCAAGTGATCTTGAAAACAGATTTGGGGATTAAGGGTTGTTTTTCTTGAAACTAAAAGAAACCAACCAATCAAACAAAAAACAGTTTCTATGTTGGTTTTCCATGGAAGATGGGAAACCAACAAGTTTTTCTCACTGGCTCTAAATAAAATGTCTCTTAATTTCCACATGTGAACAAGGTACATAGGTATTGTCCCCCCCACACACTCCCCATACTGGATCCAGACTTGAGGACCCACAGGTTCTTTCTTCAACGGTGAAAAGATTGTTGATTTCCTCCTCCTATCCCTTTCATTGTCTTTCCACCTTTTGGGGTATAGCCAGCACCAGAAGGAGAATGAAATAGAGTGAAAAAAGCTATTTTGTCTCTTGCCAGCTCAGTTGGAAACAGGAAGTACTGGAAATTTCCCAACTAAGCCTGGCTTTGGAAGACCTCCAGCCCACTTTGTCGAGGCCTATGGCTCCAGGGGTTCTGCAAAGTGGTTGAACTTCTGGGAAATGCTACATACAACCCAAAAACTTCAGCTGTGGAAGTATGATTCTATAGCATGGCTGATGGGAACTGGTGGAAAGGGTACACTTGCCTGGAAAAAAAATTAGTCCAGAGGGTCTGCATTTTATATATTCTCCTAGGGTCATGCTCAGGCTCATTTATGTGAGTGCTGATAAACTTGATGGCAGGTTTGCTCATGAATGATTTTGGGAAAGTCATGGCTGACTCTCTGCTCTGAAGGTACTGGTGAGGATGAGGAGAAACAGAATGTAGGAGGACTGACAGACTGACCTAATGCACCAACACAGCGTGGTGGACATTTATGCGTCCTCGATCTAGATATCCACAAATCTTCAGGCGTGGAACTACAATTAGCTCAAGATGTTAGACCATGAAGGCTTTTATGGACACTAGGCTCCAAGTGCTAACCCTACTGCTGTTCCAAATAACAAACCACTTTCTGATATAAAGCTCTGGGCAGCCGCAGACTTTGTGCTGGTGCCAGGAGCACGGAGACAGAGCACACACAGACCCTTGAGAGACACTGTAAAGGCTGCCGCTAGTTTTTATTCTCTGGCACTGATAGCTAGATCGGGGAGTTAACACAAGTTTGGGCTTTTGGTGTTTTTTGCTGCTGGCAGCTTCCACTGTCTTTCTAATCATGGTCTGAATCCTCGCCCAGCTCAGCCAGGAAGGCTCTGAATCTGCCTCAGGTTTGCAGTCAGACAGGACTCCAGCGTGGTGTGGATTCAAAGCCTGGAGGTGACAAGGAACGGACAGCACGTGCACCCGATGGGAGCTTTCCATCCTGCTGAGGTGTCACCAGGAAGCCAGGTCATACCCCAATCTCCAGCCTCTGCGGCTGAACTGCCTTTTAATGCCAGGATAACTCATTATAGCGATGATTGCAGGCGGCATTATCTCAGCGTGACAAATGCAGGCCATGTGTGCGATGCCTCTGCAGCCCTGGACAGCAATCTCTGCTGCAGTTAACACTTTTGATGCTATCAGGATAACCATTTGCCAAGGCTGGCTCAGCAGAGACGGGTGGCTCCGAGCTCCTGGCCTCCACTGCTGTGGGAGACTCGCTCCCAGTCCCTACCAGTGGCCATGGTAACAAACAGAAGTCATCCTCACCAGGCACTCTCCACCTCATCGATTCCTTGGGAGATTTATGGCAGAGACCTGATCTCAGTGAAGGAGCTAAATCCAATTCACTAAGGAATTACAAGCCTGTCCGATCAATAATCTATTTATCTCCTTCACTTTGCCATCTTTAAACACTCCAGCCCTATCAACAGAAATTGAAAGCTTTTTGAAGATGAAATTATTGAACCCTGGAATGGCTCTGCTAAGGCTCCTGGAAAGGATCTTGAGACCAGAATGGATCCAGTTCAGATCCAGCACGTAGGAGAGACCTGTCACAGCTCCAGTAACTCCACAGCAATTCGGCACACAGGCTGGGATGGTGGGGGATGCTGGCACTCAACACACAAAAAGAATCCAGCCCAAAAGATCACAGGTAGTGTGGGGGCACAGTTTGCAGGAGATACCACTCGACATTAGTGCCAAGAAGGAATATGCATGTGGTGGGGAGCACGGCAGGGTGACTTCTACTGTGTTCCCTTTGGCCAAGCTGAAGCATGAGGAAGGATAGTGTGTCCTCTGCTGCACTGGCAGAGCCTAGGAAAGGCTCATATAGCTATAGACAGGTACTGGGAGCTCAGAGGAAACAGAGGTGTTAAGTGTTAACCCTACCTGAAAATGCATTACTGATGTCCCTGGAAGCTGCCAGCTGCATTGGTTCATGACTTGAGCAGATCATGAAGTTTAATTTAATCAGCACATGACTTTAGAAGCAATCATTATGTCTCCCAAGGGCAGAGGTGTGCTGCATCCCAGAAATAATGTTATTTTTCAGCTCTCATGCAGCACTTCTAATTAATAGATTGTAAAGCAGTTTGCATGGAAGAAAACCCAGGCACAGGGAGGAAGCAGGGCTAGCTGAAAGCCAGCCAGCGTCAGAACCAGGAGCAGAACCTCTTTGAAGAACAGTTTCCATCCTTTTCTAAGCTTCATAACTAGTTTTATTTAACAGATGCAGTCCTTTACAAACACAGGGGAGGCTGCAGGATCGGTTCACACATGTGAACTGCCTTCGTAATAAAGTTCCTTGTCAAAGAAATATTTACGCACATGCTTAAGCCTTTCTTCAGAGCAACTCTTAAACACAGTATTATTTGCAGTCTCAGTGGGACTGATCCATATATCCTGTTGGCCAAAAGACAGGACATTTTCTTGGTTGTGTAGAATTGGGGAATCACAACAATTGTGGAGAGCAAACAGGAGAACTGAGCTGGAGGGAAAGCAGAGCAGGATGCTCAGAGCTGAAGTCAGAGAAGTTTTATGACTTACCCAGAGAAGTTCTGCTGACAGTAATGGTGCTGCACTGGTGCCTGTGTGAGATTTCAGCCCTACACATGATCATGCCTATGGGGTATTTGCTTCCCAGATTGCCCCATTTTTAACAGGTTCATGTACCTATTTTTTCTGCACCTGGAACTCCAGCACCGAAGCTGGAAGGGGCTAAATTTCTCTGGAGATGGAGAGGGGCCAGTTCCTCTCACTTCAGAGGTTAATGAATGGAGTCATTAGGATAATTAATGTTTTACTGATGAATTAATCACCCTCTCAAGCAGTTTCTGTCTTTCGCTGTGCAGAGAGGCAGGGCCCTCTTGAGATCTAACACATCCCTTGCTAAGGTAGCTACCTTGTCCTCACAGCCGCCTGTTTTTGGAACAGGTTACTGTGCATCTGCCTTTTCAGCAGGGGAGTTGCTTTCCTGCGGGAGGGAAAACCTCAAAGCCAAGAGCTGTGCTGGAGTTTGAGATTCTCCAGGCTGCCAGCTGCTAGGATTAAGCTTTTTTCCAAACTGTACTAACTCTTCTAGTTCTGACTTGGGGCCACCTTGGCTGTCCCCATCCTGAGCCCATTTCACTCACCGCCCATCTAGCCCACGCAACTCTGCCAATAAGCCTCACTCTTCCTCTGAAGGACCATCTATCCTTGTCCTTAAATTCCTTCTCCTTGATGCTTTTCCTGCCCTCTCCATCCCCCAGTGTTACTCCAGCCCTGACCCCGAGTCCGTGTATTGATCCCAAGCCTGACTTGACTCACACTCTTTTTTCAGGTCCTGTTTCCAAAGAGCATTACTGAAGCACTTCACTAAAGAGCAAATGCCCTTGTTGTTTTCTTGTTATTGGAAGTGTGAGAAACTGCGTGGTGACCATGCCAAAAAAAATCACTAACCTTTCTGTGGCAGTTTATACAGAGCAATGAAACATCGAAAAGAGCTGCCGTCACACAAGAACCTTCTCCCTTGGCTGCAGGCACGTTTGAACTGTGATTTCCAGGGGCTGGAAAGCTGAGAGTGATTTCACAACATTGTTCCTGAAATAATCCCAGTAATGTCAACAGGGCTTCTTGAACAGGGCCCTCGGAGAGTTCTACAGTGCTCAGAGTCACAGCAACGTCTCTAAGCTGAGTCCCACGGACAGGTTAAGGTAAGGGAAAAGGCATCACTCCTTTTTGAGGTTAATTCAGCACCCCTTGAGATCACAGACTATGATTGCGTTTTAACATGAGGTAAGAAACTTCATCACTGAGCGTTTTTGGCAACAAATATTTTTT